GGATCTAGCCTGCGCTGGTAGTCCCACGTTTCTGGCGTGCCTGTGATCCTTTCGCGCCGAGTTTGCGATGCTGCCGCGTCATTTCCCTCAAGGAGCCGGGGGGGGCACAAGTGGCAATGGTTGCAATCCATTCCGCGGGTACCTGATGAGCACCCAAAAACCACACATTTGGATGCACATGTCAGCACCTGGCCATTCTTGATGGGCTAAACAATGTATAATAATCTATGTAACATATCATATCTAACAAATCCTTTGAACAAAACAGGACGAGGCCATCTTATTGTGAGTCCGCTAATTAGCCACCACTCTGGGCCCGCACTGAATCTGACAGCGTTCAGAACTCTTGGTCTGAGATGCAGCTCCCTGGCCGCCAAAACCAAGTGCAAGGCTTGCAAAGGCCCTGTGAACGGAGTGCCGAACCCTGGGACGATTGCATGGAATAGACGTCGCACAGGTCGGAAGCACCTGGAATAGACGTCGCAGCCGTCCGGACCGCATGGTGGCATCTCCCACCTTCCCACGTTCTCTATATAAGTAGCAGTCATTACAGTACCCAGACGCTCATGGGCCCTCATATGGAGGGGTCGGACCCTCATATGGAGGGGTCAGGGGTCTCAAATCCCTAGGTTTTAAGAGACCAAGGGCTGTTTGGAGCGTCTGGGTACATGCAATTACTAGCCGTCCAAGTGAACCAGTTCAATCCCGAGTGTCCGAGAGTTTCGGACACGAAGTTCGGGGGGATGTTGTCACAAACATGTGGCTTGAACATCTTAGTACTATATATAAACATGTAACAGGTACTTGTTTAAAGTTGAAAAGTCGGTCGGCAGCATGACAAGATGCAAATGAATGTCAAGCTGCAGTCTACTGGAATCACTCGCAGCCACAGGATTCATGACCCTGTCTTCCCTCTGAAATTCTCAAACTCAAAGAGCGGACTTAGACTTGTAGACTCAGGCCCTTGCAGAAATCATGGGGTTCTTGTCCGTTCGCTTTGGACGAGAAACTGGGAGAATCTGGCATCGCTTCCACCTCGCCCGAAACATCATTGTCGCCGTGGAGGGCTTCGCGTGCATCCACTGCAGTGCTGCAGGTAGTTAAACGCTCGAAGCAACCAGTCGCGTCCATGGTATCCTTCAAACCTGGAGCGATGGAACCCCCGATCCTCCAACCCTTAAGGCCAGGCTGGCATAATTACTATGCCCTACATGTCAAAGACCTCATTTTACTGGAGATGGTCATACAAAACCGATACTTAAGGAGGTAAGCGGTAGGAGACCAGGTTTCACTGGGTCAAGCTGGACTTGTAGGGATGGGGAGCTCGAGGAGTGGGTCCTGGGCCTTCACCCGACGAGCGCGTCAACAAAACACACTCTGAACAACGCCCAGAAGCTACTTGAAGCTTTCTCGTCAGCGCGGCAGAAACCACCGCCCAGCAGCTCGGGGGCACTGATGCACCTCGCCAAGTCGTGCCTTTCGGGCAGGAATTCCAAGAAGGTGGCCCGCTCTGTCAAGCGGAACTCAAGGATCTCTTCATCCATGGGACAGCTTCGCGGGCTGCACATGGCGTCCGACCGTTGGAAGTTCCACTTCCAATCTCTATATTTAGACTCACTGCAATGCCCTACCCGATTAGCGCACTTCCGCCAGGCATCTCGGCGGATTGAAGCTCTGGAAAGGGGCTGACGTGAATGGAAAATGGGGAACCCCCCCCTTAGCCACGTCCTGGGCCGGATCAAGGTGGATCATCCATTCAAGGTTTGCAAGCTGCAGTTTTCCCATGCTTTCTCGAGTCGCAGTGCTTTCCCTGTGTATTCCTGGACTCAATGCCCAGGAGGTTCTCAGAAGAAGCCCAGTTCGGATACAGCAAAACCATAATTTGAGATGGTAAAAGAACTGTCAAAACGTGCGGCTCCCGGGGCTTTTGGGGCTGTCTATGGCTGTCTCATATCTTTTTCTTCTCCTCAGGCCGCGTGCTGCGTGCTGCATTGAGGCCGCCGCATCTCCACAGCATGGACGTTTGGCAGTGGGGCTTTGGAGCAGTGCAACGGCTTCAGAACGAGAACGCGGATCTGGGTGAGGTGTCTGTGGTGAGTGGTTCTTAAATGTCGCAAGATCTTTTGTCAAAGGGGCGTCATGAGGCTTTCAGATCAGTGCCAGCCGAAGTCGTGAGCAGCTGACGTAATGATGTGTCCAAGAAACATGTGGAACATGCAGGCCCAAGTAAGTAGCAGCTCACAGATCTCCGGCGATCTAATTATGAGTTTGCTGTCCTCAAAGGCGTCCATTACCTTCAGCGAACCACACTGACGTAGGAGATACTGAGCACTTTTCTCCTCAAACGCGGAGCGCGAAGGAGAAGAGGCGCGGTGCATTCACCTGGGCAAACGAGGCCAAGCCGCACCAGTCAAGGATGTGACAAAGCTCTGGATTGTTCCTGTCTGTGATCTGAGAGGAACATTCTGCCCAGTTCAGGTCCAGGTACCTCCTTTTCGGATGAGTTTGGAGGTGAATTCGTACTTCCTGAGAATACCCCAAACAGGCTTGGCCCACAAAGGCGGTGCTTCACTCCAACGGCCCGCTGCATCACTCCGCCCGATATCTCGCCCGGACTCGCCGGATGGCGATGGATGGCGCGAGTCCGGGAGTCCGGCCTTCATCCAATCCACGAAGAATTCCCAGATCTCAGGGAGACCAACCTAACGGCGGAAGCAACTGACATAGGTTGTAATCGGCAACATTTATTATGACATATATGTACTGTATAGTTGATTTATTCAATATGCCGGAGTTTGCTCCAATGCTTCAATTTGACCACGAGCTTGATCGGTGATCCCCCAAAATTGGCGCCGGAGAAGTGAATGTCTTGAAATCATAGTGTCGAAGTGAAATACATCGTTCCTATCTGTGCGGGACCCCTTTCGTATGTTTGGTTGCCAAGTTTCTCCATTGCATGACAGTAGGCCACTCATGACAGCAGGCCTGTTGGGAGATACAACAAGGCACACAATCACCACAATGCTGTTTGGCAAATCACTTGTGCCAGACTCACGCAGCGGCTGAAAAACATGGCCTTGGCTGCCCAGCTAGAAGGCAGGATCAGCAAGAAGGAACTACAGGTGGAGCCAAGATCAGCAAAGAGCAACTACTTTTCATTGAGCGAAACCAGCGAAGGGGACCACGCTGCAAAGCAACTTCAGCAAAAATAAACACATTCACAAAACAGGACCTGCCAAGGAAAAACCGCTTTAGAACACCAGATTAGCCAAAAGGACCAACTGGAAGATCTCAAGATCTCCAAGAAACATTTTTGCGGAGGGTGTTTCTTCTCTGCTTGCTCAGCGTTAATAGGGCACATGCTCAGGGAACTGGTTTGTGGTCCAGGGCGGCACGGCGCATGCGCCACTCCTTGTTTCGCCATGTTCCACTTGTTGGTGTGCCGCGCACGCACAAAACTACAGCAGCTATAGTTTGAATACACTCTGACCACTAACATGGAAGTGGAAAACCACGTGTTTGTAGATCAAAGTAGTCTTCCAAGTGACCATTGTCCACTTCCATGTTAGTGAGTCAGAGTGTATATGGTTTGATAGGTTGTCGGCCCCACTCTGTCTTGAGACAGGCGCAGGCTGTGGCAATGGTGCTCTCCTCGTTTTCAAGGCAATGTCTTGAGGGCTCGTTCATCAGGAACAGTCAAGTTCATCGGTCATCAAGGGCGACTTTCCATGACGTGGAGGTCTTTGTTGAAAGGGCCGGGGACTCACCTGGCCTTCATGCGACTGAGCATCGGCCGGATCCGTGCGATCCGCCGACGGTTTCTCCCCACCTGTGTGTCATTGATCCCGAAGAACCAACGCCGGGTACCTGGGCGCAAGTCAACTGGACACGCCTTCTCATGCAGGCACCACAGCCCTCAGAGTTCCATGTTGTTCTTCTACCTGGTACATACTTACTACCCCAAAACACCCAACCACCACAACCGCTTTTTGGAGGAATTTGGTGGTTGGGTGTTTGGCCTGCCAAACCTACCCTCCTCCGACACAGGGACCCAACACTCCACTAACTACTAATGACCAATGTATGTAGGCTGTTTATATATTTACTGTATACCCCCAAAAAACACTACTCAGAATTGTCTTACATCTCCATATTCTGCTTGAAAAAAAGAATGTTGTTTAGACCAGGTCGGTCTACATTAATCATACATCCTTTACAGTAAACCGATAACATGACCCTCATGTAGGCAAATATGGCATACGTGGAGTGTCTGGGACTTATATTCCCATTCACTAAGTCAATGGCTGCGCCAAAAATTGGGTCCGACGCCCTCAATTCCCGTTGTCCCATGAGGACGAGGGGTGGAGACACATGAACTATTCCACCAAATACATCCAAATGTTACGAAGAGTTCTGAGCTCTGTGCAGCCCAAAAAGGAACATGAAAGAACAACCCACAAGTCTCCTGGATGCTGGAAGGGTCCATTTCGCTCGTTTGAGCGAATCGTTGACGGTTCTCCCCCCCCATGGGGTGCCCTGAGGGATGGACGGCTGATAGGAATGCCATTGGCCGCAATGAAGGCCTGATGGGATGCAGAAAGCACATGTTCGATCAGTCATCTGGGATAGGAGCAAGCTGCTTCGCGCGAATCGCGAGGCAGGTCTGCGACATACACAGCCGTTGATGTTTCTTGAGCACCTTTTTTTCTTTTTCTCGATCTTTGCTGCTGCGTCCGACAACCTTAGTGCCCCAGCGAAAGCTGCTCCAGCCAGAATGCTTGATGCAAAATTCAGGAGCAAATTATGCCGAGATTAAGTATTCTACAATATGATATAACATAATACCAAGTCAGCTTTAACCTACAAAGAATCAATAAGAAAGCCAACTAGAAAACAAAAACAAATGAAACAAGCACATCTGGATATCCTGGATCTCAGGCTTCGACAAAAACAGGTGTTACAGGGTATCCCTTCTCAACACCTTCTAGCTACATCCCACGACCTGCACGTACGGCTGGATGCTTTCAGACTGGTTTCTTCTTGGTGCTGGACTGTATGGACCCACTCAGCAATTGGATGACACCAAAGGCGCAATCCGCTCTGGGGCCTGGCCCGTTCATGCTCAAAAAATTGCATGTTGATACGTTTTTGTACGTGTTGTGGGCTCAAATGTAGGATATTATATATATATATATATGTGTGTGTGTGTGTGAGTCGTGAGGGTGTAGGTTTCGACATGTCTTCATGCAACAACATGAGACGGAAGTCGATTCTGGGTGACTTGGTCAGGCTGATGGCCCATGCATCCATGCGACAAGAATGATCACAGCAATCCCCAAACCAAACCGCTGGAAACAAGCCAACGACCGACGGCCCCGTTTTGACACTCAGTAGCCCAATTTCCCGTCCCCGCGTGCAACCTGTGTGTTCCACGCGTGCCACGCGTGCCACCTCGTGCCACGTCGTGCCACGTCGTGCCACGCGACTGAGAGACCTAGTACCGCCGCGCCCCACTGGCCACCCCCAGAAGTGGGGCCCCGCGCCTTACCGTCTTTCAAGTCGGGCAAGTTAAAGCATTCCTCAGGCGCCGGTCGTTAGTGAGACAGTGACAGTCCCGCTCACCAATGCTGTCCGGTCATCCAGCCGCGGGCTTTTGCGCGATGACTCTAAAGATCCACATGCCCTCTGAGAGGGTGATTGGAGACACTTCTACGTCACGTAGCCTTGGAGGGTCCAAGTCCTTCTGAGAAGGTATGTGAATCGTCAGGCCTAGGAAGAGGCTTTCGCACCAACTTGTGGAGCCATGGTGAAAATCCGTGCAGGTGTTCGATCATTTTGACAATCCGGAGAACCGCCAGAAACCACCAGCCAGGTTGGCTCAAAGGAGTCGTGTGCCCTGATTCCGCCAAAATCACCGCTTGGAGAGAACAACATCGAACAACCAACCCACTCATGATGCTGGTGACCTGCATGCGAATGAATTGAAAGTGCCTACTCTAGAACGATGGATGCCTTTCTCAATTGGTTGCCCTCATATAGTCTAAAACGACTGTACGATTGATTATCCCCCCCATCGCACTCTCCATCGTTCCATCCCCCCCAAACCAAAGGCAGCTAATTACTATCTAATTCTAATTACTATATCTACTATGTCACAACATCCCAGGTGCCGTGTAGGGCCTGTGATGCAACACGACCTTCTTGCCGGACTTGGCCGTGGCAACGCATGGTGGATTCACCGTCTCCTGCGACCGCACCGGCGCGGTAGCGCGTGCGAGGTCCCCACCGGTGCTCGGGCGATGGAACCGGTCGCTACACGACCGGTCGCTACCTGATGACTTCTCCACCGGTCGCCGAGTTGGGACGTGTCGACTGTCGATGGAGCGGAGTTGGGGAGCTAGCCGACATGAGATCTAATTATTTGTGGAGTGGACATGAGTGGAGCATTGGGTCGGCGACCCGGACAAGCCGTGGATGGTGTGGCACGGGTACGGGACGGCCAAGGCGACGCAAGGCATAGGTCAATCCTTGGCCAATAATGGTTCTTAAGAATTGCCGAGAATTGAGATTGATCCACGCATGAGGAAATGACCGTCTTGAATCTCGTCGTTTTGGTCCCGACCCGGTTCTCCCTTCCCCTCGGCCTATAGGTCAGGGGCTCTGTCTGCTAAAACTGTTAGGTATACGGACCGGAACAAGGCATGGTCATTCAATGTCATTCATGAATGATCATAAGAACACGTCAACACTGCATGTCTTGATTGCTTGTCATTCAGCTCGGCCAGTCTCAAACCATCAGGCCTCCCCCCTCTCTGCGCGCCTGTAGGGCTGGGCAACCGCCATCGTGTGTGTGCTCACCTCCTGCGGTCACCTCCGCAGCGATCCAGAAGACCTGCGTCGACCGAGCCAGCGAAGACCAGCGTTCACCCAAGTGCCTGCACCGAGCCCGACCGGTGGACAGGGGAATTGAAAAACCCCCGACCCGCAGCAGGAACCTCCAATCAGCGTCTTGAGGAAAGCGGATCCCGCCGTGTCTCACCTCATCTTGCTTGGACTTCCCGCTTCTCTCGCTCCGGCAGCACACACCAGAGGCAGCCTGCGAGGCCCCCCAAAGGCCACGACCACGACAGGTGAGTTCGAGCGGGTGTGGGACGCACATGTGTTCTGGCACATCCTCCACATGTGCTTTCAACCTCGCCTCCCCCCGATGCACCAGATCCATAAGCGTGTTGGCCCATGTGTGTTACACGCGTCACTTTTTGACATTGGACTTGAGCTACCACACCCGATCGCTGAACCACGCTCAATACAAACTCGCCCCGCTTACTCACCCACAAGAACAAGGAAACACACATTATATGGTACATGTGACAAATGTGCAGCCTATGTTATAAACTAGACAATATAATACATATATGTATATAATATTATATATATAACTATAATTTACCACGGGGCACCCTGTACAAAATAGGCCATCGGTGCCGTGGCCCAATCGCGTACAACTGCTGTGTTCCAGGTTCACCAGTTGTTCGGCCACTCGGAGGTTTTCCACCTCTTTCTGCAACCAGTTGTAGCTTGATCGGTTCACTTCCTGCATGGGAGTCCCCAGCAGCTGCCCCATCCGCTGAACGAGGCCTCACGCGGACGCGAGGAAAAAGGCGGACCGCTGAAGGGGCGGTGGCGGTGAAAAGGAGTTCGTGAACAATGTGAACATTGAGGAGTGTCCGAAGTCTAGGCTTGGATTTTGGATGTGCGTTTTGCGCTTCACTTTTTTTCTATGCTTAGATAATTGCTAACATCCACGAATGTCAACATCAGCGGTGGGCAGGAGAGTTCAGACTCTGAGATTCCAAATGAAGGTCCCGAGACAGGGGAGATTCTTTCAGGATTCTTCTCAAAGGCCGTCAAACAATGTGTGGAGATGTGTTCTCTTCATTTCTTTGATGCCATGAATCAATGACTGGGTCAAAGCAAGAACATCAGGACCAAAGCGGGATTCCCGGACTCGGACTGCCTACATGCCAGTCTTTGAGCTCACCAGAGCGGAGAAATGTGCGGATGTTGGTCGCTGCGCCATCCTCAGCAGGTCGTGGTCAGCGACCATGTTCCAAACCGAAAAGGCCCCACGGCGATTTTTACACCAGTTACTATGACTAACATGACCTACCCATTGTCTGGTTTGAGTGGTATATGATTTATGTAATTCGTTTAATATTGAATAGTAATGTACTGCATGTCCTTTTTTTCGTACATGGAGCGTTCGGGATTGACGCCCAATCAACCCGCTAGCATCCCCTTACGCCCCTTTAAGGGACTACAGCTGCCTCCTGGTGACCAGATGCATCGAGGAATTGCACCGTACGCGGGTGGTGCTTTGGACTTCTTCGACATGACTCTCAGACCACAGAATGGCTAGACCTGACGAGCTTTTCCTTGGAATCGCAGTACCACCATCGACGCGCCCAAAGCTGACACGACACGAATTCCGCTTCGACTCGCCGCGGGATTCGCCGAGGCACAAGACCAAGCACTCCACCTCAGACTGCGCGCGACGGTCAAAGGCCACTATTCACTTTTGGGCAAGGGAAATCCGATGGTTTGACTGTTGCTCCTTTTCATGTTGTTGGGTTGGCATAATATGTGTATGCGCGTAGCTTTGTACAATATATAGTGGTTTGAAGCTTGGTTTTCTAGCGAACGATTGGTGTCCTTGAAAGGCCAACCAACCCCTTTCTCTCCCTGCTTCCCTCATCTCTAAGAAGACTATGCCCCCGCTTTCCACTGACCGGGAAGCATTTGGTCAGCTGCTCCAGCAAGCTAAGGAGCTTCTGAGCGTGGTCTGCCGCCAGATCGAGCAGTTGTTGATCAAATCCAGATTGCAAATACAACTCTTGATGAACTTTGCGCATTGTGAGCCATGGACAAAAGGCGAGGATGACTTAGAATGGACCTCCCATTCCCAGCCCAAGGCCTCCCATCACTTCATATCACTTCGGCCACTTTTTCACGTTCCGATGTCCCGGTGAAGTTGGGCCTGCGCTGGGCGAACGCAGCTTCTCCAGCGCTTTGACCTCGTCGAAGTTGGAGAGGCTGAGTCGCAACCAAAAGCTATGCTTGGAGAGTCCACCGAAATCCGCATCACCTCAGCCAGGCTTGGAGGTGTGCCCCCAAAAAGGCACGGAGGTGACATGTTTTCTGGATGCTTTAAGAGGATCTTATTGGCTTTGGGGTGCTGTCTATTGGGTCAGAAGTCAGCTTTGGGCACCTAGGACCTAGCTCCTAGCTGCGAAGACGTGGATGCCGCTGGTCGTAGAAGTGATGCATTCCACCACGCATTCCCTCTTTTCTAATTCCACCCAGTCTGCGGAAATCTCCCAAACGTGCATCTCGAAGAAGAAAGGACCTGTGAACATGTCCGCAAAACTCCTCTTGATCCTCTTGGTCTTGTAGAAACCTGTCGACTCTGCAGAACTCTCTGCAGACTATTGACTATTGATCCGCCTTTCTCCTGCCATACGAGGATAGAGCTGCGGATTAAAATGTTGGAGCACCAACAGCGTGTGGATGCTTCACGAACCGA